GTTATTCCCCAACCAGTAGCCACTTACTCCAAAATTGGTACGGTCTTCATATTATTACCAAGTACCCTAGGCTAACGTACAACCTTACAGATTAATTCTTTTCTATTAAAAATCCACCATTGTAAAAAAGATCTGCTTATTCTCAGCATCTGTGCAGCCCTTAAGATATGATTGTTTTCAAGACTATGTATTTCCATGGCCATTTTTCCTTTTCGTAACGTTTACTGTGGAAAATTTCAAGCATAAACCAAAGTAGGCCGATTACTCATTCACTCTCTTCAATAATGTGCCCTCGGGACTAGTGTCATCTATGCCTTTCCCTCACCATTATTTTGAAGCAAATCCCAGATAATATATTTTTCTTGACTCTTCAATATAGATTCCATACTGCGCTGGTGTGTTTGTTTAAGTTAGTGCTAGTGAGATTATTCTCCAAAAGTGTTTCCTTAATGCGTTCCGTGCTTAGTCATTTCACTGTGGTGGTTGGGATTATCATAGTAACGGTGGATGCTACTATTTCCTGGTCTTATTCATCTCCTCATTTCATTCTGGTCTATAATTACATATGGAACGAGTGATATTTACTTTTTGTGCAGCAGCCAGGAGGCTCACGAAAACCTCCTTCCAGGTGTGACTGTGTAGTAATGAGACCTAACACATCCAAATTAGTGTTAGTCTTCAAAGTAGTCCTGTTGACAGGTCATTTACTTATTTCGGTGATGCAGCCATTTCGCAGAATGTTTTTGGAATTCCTCTTTTGTAATTGCCCTCAGAAGTACTTTGAGCCACAAGGAGAGGCAGGTCTCATTACTGTGGTTAAAACCAACGTCTGACCAAAATACTGAGTATGATCACTTATTTATATTCTCGGACTTGGTGGGACATGACTCTGAATAACAAACTCATTTCTAAAAATGAAATCTCCCTTTAAGGGATTTTGATTTGCAACCAGTAGCATCGTTTAAAAGCGGGAGGTGCAGATCCTTTCCAGAAATGGTGCTTTAGAGTCACACTACCTTTATCTTCCTGTGTGGTGTGCGTAGTGTGTGTATGCATGCATTCAGTTCATGTGTCGGCTGTGTATCTATTTCAGGTGGCTGGCATGGATTTTGTGTTTGTGTTTAATTTTTAATTTAAATTTGATTTTTTGGGGACACCGGGGTGGCTCAGCAGTTTAGCACCTGCCTGTGGCTCAGGGTGTGACCCCGGGGTCCTGGGATCGAGTCCCACGTCGGGCTCCCTGCATGGAGCCTGCTTCTCCCTTTGCCTGTGTCTCTGCCTCTCTCTCTGTGTGTGTCTCTCATGAATAAATAAAATGTTTAAAATAAATTTGATTTTTTTTAAGTTCATAAGGTATTAACATTGCTTATTTAGAGGGTGTCAGGAAGTTTATCTCCCTTCTCTGTCTTGGAACCCTCCATTTCTCCTCCTGGAGGCAGGCAATGTCAACAGTTTCGGGTGTTTCCTTCCAGATCGGGTCTACACATATACATATGTGTATTTTTTTTTCTCTCCTATGTTTACGAAAGTGAGGCATATACTGTATACCGCCTGCCCTGTTCTGTACCATCTTTTCTTTTGACAGTGCATCTTTGAGATCTGCCCAAGATCAGCTGAAGAGCTTCCTATTCTTGGTATAGTGTTGCCCGTGTGGATGTACCACAAATTTTTAAAGCAGTATCCTTCAAGTTCTTGAGTTATTTCTAATCTTTTGCTATTAAAAAAAAAATGTTCTGTGGGGGCCCCTGGGTGGCTCAGTCAGTGGAGCATCTGACTCTTGGTTTTGGCTCAAGTCATGACCTCATAGGTGGTGAGATCCAGCCCCGGATGGGCTCCGAGCTCAGCAGGGAGGCTGCTTCAGGGTTCTCTCGCTCTGCCCCTCCCTCACTCTCCTGATCAAGCAGGTGCGCACACGCTCTAGCTCCAGCTCTAGCTCTCAAATAAATAAATCTTCATAAAACTGTGCTGCAAAGAATGAATTTGTGTGTATGATATTTTGCACTGGGTAGATGGCTAGTATAAATTCCTAGAACCGGAATTACTGGATCAAAGGGATGATACGTGGCATTTTAAGTTTTGGTAGAAATTATCCTTTTTGGACAATTTTTGATAGAATTGTTCTTTTTAGGACTAGTTATGCCAATTTCATAATCACCAATGGTATGATTTATCTCCTTCCATAACAACAACAGCACAGAGTTGTCAAACTTTATTTCTGCCAAATTGATCCTTTTAATTTTTCTCATTATTGGCTAAACTGGAGTTTGTATTTAAAGGCACTGGTCTTTCCTCGTGGGCTCCTTGTTCTAACCTTCGTGATATGAGTTGGAAGCAGTTTTTCCCAGTTTTTTTGTTTGGGCTTTTGATTTTGCTTACGGTAGTTTTTGCTGTGCAGAAATGTTTCAGTTGTTTACAGATTTATCTGTCTTGCTTTCTGGATGATGTTTGATACATAGGCCTTTTCCACTCTTAAGTTATTTAAACATTTTTCCCATATCGTTAGTACTTTTACTAAATTGTTCGTCCATCTGGAGTTTATGTGGTTTAAGGTGAAAAGTATAAATCCAACTATTTTTTCCCAAACAATTCTTTTGTTTGGCATGAATTTTGAATTTAAAAATATTTCATAGTCCATATTGTCATATATGAAAATAGGTAATACTGATTAAGCCATACACATTGTAAATGTTAATTTTTATTGCAATGGGTATTCTTCATTTTTTTTCTAATTATTTACAGTGTAAATAATTATTTACATTAATTTAAATACTTATTTAAATCAGCCTGCAAGAAGCTGCCATTTATTTGGCATTGTGGGTGACCTGCTCCTTGTTCTCCTCACCTTAATGTTACCCTCCTTCTCTTATTCCTTCTTGCAAAATACTATGATTTCCTTTGTCTCCTGTGTGCATCGTGCCACTTGAAAATTTCTATGGGAAAATCCAACAAAATGTTGATGTTGGCTTGCATTTGTTTTTGTGAGCAGTTTGCAAATTCATCGTTTTGTCAACTGAGTTTAAATTACCACTTTTATTTAATGCAGTTGGTTCTTATTTTGAAATGACATGAGCATCCTAATTTTATCTATTTACTTTTACTAAAAGTGAACATTTTTTTTGTAAGATTTCAGACAGGGGTGGTAAGAACTCCACGCCTGAGTTATCTAACCCAGGCTGTGTGGATTAGCAGATGAGTTGTTTATGGTTTTTATGATCTTGGAAAAGAAGCTACTTTCTGAGTGAAGAGTTCTTATTTAGCATTATTTGTGGTAGAAGCTTCATTGGTAAATGGAGGGTGGGATGTGTCCATGTAAAGATTTAAATTGCATATCTAGTGTTATTTGTTATAAATACACTTGAATGTTGTATCAATTATGGTAACTGTGATTTATGAGATAAAAGGGTTTCTGGTGAGATTAATAAGACATCTTCAGATTTGCAAAGGCTTTTAGTCTGGAATTCTTTGGAAAGAAAATAGACCTCCACATGCAAGATGTTACTGTGATTATTCCTTGACATTTCAATTTATGTAACAAATAAGTAGGAATGTATAACTAAGAACCATTAATGAATACACTTTAATAATAGGGAGACTTCATGGAGCCCCAGTAATAAACTATTTTTAAGAAATGATAGCATTTGGAGGAGAAATGTATGCCAACTTTTTGCGTTCCCATTGATAAGTCACTTAAAAGTTCTTGGACTTTTCCCTCCATCTTTAAAACTAAAGGAAGAAAAAAAAAAACTAAAGGAAGAGTAATGTGTTTATTCTGCTTCCTAGGGTGGTTTTGAGAATTCTAAACTACTACATGCTAATGAAGACGTACTTTATTATAATTTTCAGAATTCATAGATCAAACTACCACATGTGCATAAGGATGTACCTTATAAACATTCTTGGTTCATGGAAAAAATATATTTCATTGATAACGTGTATGTTTAGTTAGTTCAGGTTCTTTTATTCATCAGTGATTTCTCCTTCCTTTCGAACTGCTAGCTTTAAAATATGAAGCTCTTGATATTTGGTGCATTGGCATTGATAATTCTGTAACTGTAAATCACATGATGAAAAGCTTTCAGTTACAGTTATTTAGTATTGGATGCATTATTTTTCCTTGGCGAATGAATTCTAGAATTTTCTTCTATGCACAAAAGCCTGAATGTGTATATTTTCACTGAACATTGCAAAATACACTCTTTTGGGTTTGACATTTCCACTTACATGCTCCTTGTTCTTCCTTTTAATCTCGACATTTTGATATTATATTGCATGGCCATAAGATTCATGATAGCCCGACTACAGAGGCAACTCTGACTCCATTTATTTCCTATGAAGCACAGAAGTGTTTGCTCATCTGAAGACAGCCCCGACACAAAAACTCCCAAACGTATTTATGATTTGTCCTCCTTATATACAGAATAAATGTGATATTTACATAAATAGTATCAGATATCTGTTAGTGTTAGATGTTGATGAAATATATTAAAAGCTTATTGCTCATATTTTTATATTGAATATGATAATCGTGTAATGTTAGTTACTACAAATAAAGATTTCTCATAGGGTAACGTAAAAGAATCAATATTGTTTTTTTTTATAGTAGCTTTATAATCAAAATCTAAAAACTTGAAGAAATTGTGGAAGTAGAAGGAATAGACCTCTAGGTATTTAGTGGTGTTTTTACTTTTTACAAAAATTTTCTTAAGCTTCGTATAGGTACAATGTAATTCCACTCCAGAAAAACAAACTATAAAATACTATTTTTTATTACCCTGCAGAAGTCTATCCCACTTCAGAATGCTTGAAAATGTATGATTTGGTTGTGAAATTGATGGTATCTTGTCTAGAAATGCAGACTAAATTTTATTTAATCTGTTAAGCGTTTGCTTAATAGAATAAATGATTTATTTAATAAGGATAATGATTTATTTAAGAAGTAAGTTGCAAATAGATCAATGGCTTGTATAAATGAACCAGGTCTGCTCCATTTTCTCCTTCAGGCAGAGCTCACAGTTTGGAGACGAAAAAACGTTTAGTGATTCGTCATTGCTGGAAAACCTCCAAAATAATCATGTAAGCAACGTAAAACCATTATCTTTTTGTTAATGAGTGAAAGCTAGTGAGTCTCTTTGTGAATTATCTTCCATGTTTATATATTTCTTTTTGTTTCGTGATCATGTTTAATACTTACCAAAATCTGTTCTTGTTTAATCTTTTTTACTCGGCTCACACAAATTCATGGCTGTTGGGAATTTAGTGTTGAAAATCTTGTTAATCAGTATTCTATCTTTTCAAAATGTCTTATATTAAATAATCAATAGAATTCTGTGTGTATGAAACAGCTCACTGCTTACCATCTCAGAATATCTGTAGAAATGAATCACCTGCTCAAAATGATAGGCCAGTGCCCAATCTACACAATAAGAACTCCAGAAATTTCCACCCAGTGTGACCATTGTACCTATGAAGTTACTTGACACTTAGTAAAATTCCATCGGATCAGAGGGTTTGGCTTCCTGGAGGATAAGCCCTCGAGCCCGCTCTCATCATCACTTCAAGTTCGCTCTGTCAGAACTTGAACTCACTACCTCAAAACATGGTTCTTCAGCACCGGTGGTCTTACTAACCTGTGCCCCTGGGTGGAGCTCTAGCAAGGTGTCCCTACAGGTATTTTTTTTTTTTTTTTTTTGTCGCCTTTCTTCTTAAAAGAGATTTTAATAGAATATGGGGTTCAGGACCCACGAGACCTACACCACCTCTTCCCCTCTGTGTTTTCAGGGTCACGTTGCTTCGTCACCTATTTTAATTCTCTTTCTAGGGACTTAAGAGCTGCTTTGGATTCCTCTTCTTCCGTCCATCTCCAGCTGCATAGGGTGGCCAAGCCCTTGTCAGTAGTGGCTTCTAGAATATACCTTAAATGTCTTCTTGACTTCATTCTCACTTTCCGTCCCCTAGTCCAGACGGCCAGCATCCTTGCACCAGTGCACAAGTCCCAGTACACTTGCCAGTGTCCTTGTACCCTTTTGTTTCCCTCCGATTCTTGTTGTACGTGGCAACTGAAATGATGGACGTGGAAATCAAATCCCATGGCTTCCCTGTTTAAAACCTTCCTCTGGCTTCCCGCCTACCTTCCAGAGGTACGTGGTCTGGCCCCTGGCAAGTCACCAACCTCGCCTGGGTCTCTCTTCCTTTCCTTCTCCTCACGCCCGTACTGGCTTTTGTTTTCTCAAACACACTTCATTCTTTCCTTCAGTAGGATCTTCTCAGTCTTATCTGATTGCAAAACTCTTGGCTCAATTCCTCGTGAAGCTAAAACCTCAGTTTAAGTATCACATTATCTTGAGAATAACCGCAGACTGGCCCAAATCACGTTACATGGTATTTGCACATTCTCTCCCTTGTAGTCCTTTCACACTGTGTGTAAATATTTGTGTATTTATGTCCGTTCTCTCATCCCCACAAGTTACACTTCACACTGTGGGAGCCATGTCTGTTTTCTCCGCTGTACTAACCTGAAAACAGATTTTTCGTTGTGATTTGCCTTTCCAATCACTCCCATTTGTTTTTTGTTTTTGTTTTTTGGCCAAGATCATAGAAGAATCTTTTTATTTGATATTTCTCTTCATTAGCAGCAAGATATTTAATTTAAAAGGTCTGCACCTTCTGGGGCACCTGGGTGGCTCAGTCCATTGGGCATCTGTCTCTTGATCTCAGGGCCATGAGTTTGAGCCCCGTGTTGGGCTCCACACTGGTTATGGAGCCTACCTAAAAAAAAAAATAAATAAAAAATTACAAAATAAATTTTTTAAAAATCTGGCTTCTTTTCTTATATAAACTCCTTGCAGAAAGGATCCACTTCTATGTCTTCCTCAGTCTCTGAGAATCCATTGTACACAACAATTGTTCAGCCAATTCTTTTTATTTAGTAAGACATATGTCGGGTTAAGGTCATCACCCCAACACAAAGTGGTGGAACCCCAGTAAGAACAGATGCCAAAAGTTTAAATCTAATCAGGAATTAGATCCAGGTAAATGAGCATTTTAGAATTTCTCCCCTATTTTCTGAGGACAGGGTTTGACCCTATCTGCCTTTTTATCACTGTGCTATTTTCATTTGACACCACCAAGTTGTTTTGTGTAAATGTTTGGAAAATGAGTGAGAGAGAGTGTAAGAGCGAATGATTTTGGTTAAAAATGTATTTTCTTCATAATAGATGTTGACTTCTTTGTTGTCAATAACCTCACACCTCAGTGCTCAACAGCCAGTCTTAATAGACATGAAGTAATGTTGCTGTCATTAGTGTCAAAATGTTTAAGTGAAAGGGTTGAATTGTGTTTATTTCTTACAGCCAACTGCACCTATAATATGTGAATTTCTTACAATGATGGCAGTTTGTCACACAGCAGTGCCAGAGCGAGAAGGCGACAAGATTATTTACCAAGCAGCATCTCCAGGTACAAGGAAGGATTTATAATGTAGTTTTACAGTGGGAATTATTCTGAAATTTGAGGTTGTCTAGAGAAAAATCAGTTTAATTTGAAAAAGCAAAATAGCCAACTTGTATGTTTTAGATAATAGCAATGTGTTTATCAATTAGAATAACCTAGCTTTCAGAATTAAGTATGTATGTGTTAAAATATATAACCTTATGTGTATAAGGTTATATATTTTTGGCATATGACATAAATTGCATAGAAATTTGAATGAGAAAATTCACACAAATATAAAGTACCTTTTTATACATATAGTATCTATTCTCTTCTTTGAAAATAACAATTTTGCTTTCCTCTTTTGGAAATAATAATAATCTGTTCCATCTTTTGGAAATGATAATCAAGGAACTTTTGTGTATTTTTTTTTTTGGATGAAGAAAGTTCACCCATTTGAAAGGGATGCCATAAAATGCATATTAGCATGGTTATCAATGTTTAATGTCTCAACTTGATTTTAAACCTATTTTCAGTGTAAAATTCGGCAGTCAATATAACTGCAAGATTTTAGGAAAGAAGGAACATACTTTAAAGACCTTTAAATGTTTTAACTGTATTCTAAACCAGCACCCGTGACCTTGCAGAATGTACTAAATTCCTAAGAAGCAGAAAAAATATTATATTCTTAGGATGGACACTATGTGAATGTTCCTAATCCCACACCCTACCCTCAGCAACAAGAAAGTTTGATACAATATGGCAATGAAAGTAATTAATGTATAATAAAATAAACATCGATTCATATATATCCATTTCTTTTCTTTCCTTGTCTAAGCTTTTTTTTTTTTATGAGTAGTGTTGACACACAGTGTTATCTATGTTAGTTTCAGGTCTATAACCTAGTGCATTTATATCCATTTTTTTAAAGATTTATTTATGATAGACATAGAGAGAGAGAGAGGCAGAGACACAGGAGGAGGGAGAAGCAGGCTCCATGCCGGGAGCCCGACGCGGGACTCGATCCCGGGACCCCAGGATCGCACCCTGGGCCAAAGGCAGGCGCCAAACCACTGAGCCACCTAAATTGAGTCCTCAATTAGTATTTTTCTACATTTAGTGTTTTAGGAGGAAAGGCATAAAACGTAAAACAATCTTGTGCATTTATTTTGAGAAAGGTTTTTTTAGAGAATATTCTGAACCAAGGTGACATTTAAATTTTCCTTCTTAGGTGAGTTGACCAACAGTGAAATAGGACTCCCAGTGCCATACATGTCTCAGATCCTTAAAATGACTCTACTCGTTCCTTTGGCATTATCATATAATTCTAAAAGAAATGGATTTCAGTAACGGGCCAGAATAAACAGAATTTTAATTCTTTTACAATTAAGTAGAAATTATAGTAATGTATTTCGGTTGTAATAGGGATGATTTTTTTCATCTCACCATGTATTTGCTTTCACCTGTTTTCCTAAAACAGATGAGGGAGCATTGGTCAGAGCAGCCAAGCAACTGAATTTTGTTTTCACTGGAAGAACACCGGACTCGGTGATTATAGATTCAGTAAGTTATTTATTTTTAAGTCTCTTCTTCATCAAAATAATAACATATGCATAACTTCAAAGATACAATAATATCAAAGGATGATAAGAAAGTAGAGGTTCCCTACTCCAGTTGCCTTCTCCAGAAGCAGCCACTTTCTTTTATCTCTTTATTCTTCAGGCATTTATGAATCTCATATTTTCAGAAACATGTGATTAATATGTTTTGATTCTTCCATTTGACTATAACTCCTGACTTTCTGTTCTGTTATGTTAAATGAGAACTTATCTCTCTTGACTCACTATCCCTTCCTGGTATATATTTACTATAATAATATTACAGCTTTTAGTTAAACACATATTCAGACATAATTTTTAAAATAGGCAAAAGACTCAAATGAACATTTCACAGAAGAAGGTATATGATGGAAGGGGAGGTGAGTGGTGGTGGGGGTGACTGGGTGGTGGGCACTGAGGGGGGCACTTGACGGGATGAGCACTGGGTGTTATGCTATATGTTGGCAAATTGAACACCAATAAAAAATTAAAAATAAATTAAAAATAAATAAAAAAAGAAAGGCCACTAAGCACATTAAAAAAAAATCATTAGTCATCAGTGAAATGCAAAATAAAATCACAGTGAGATGCTATATACCCACCAAAATGGCCAAGATTAAAAACATTGGCAGCACCAAATGTTAGTGAGAATACAGAGCTAGTGGAACACCTGTATGTTGTTAGTCATTCCAAAGGCGTGAGCCCTTTGGGAGACCTCGTAGAGCTCCCTAACGCAGGTAAACATGCCGCTGACCCAGCAATTCTACTCATAGTTTCCCAGAAGACATGAAAGTCTCTGTCCACAAACAGATACCTGATGGAATGTTCTTAGCAGCTCTATCCAGAGTAGCCAGACACTGGAAACAACCCAAACATCCATCAATAAGAGAAGGAATCAGCAAATGGTGATATACACATACAATGAAATATCCAAACGGTAAAAAGGAAGGAATTACTGATCCGTCAACAACATGGATGAACCTCAGGAGGATTATGTGGAGCAGAAAAAGCTAGACACCAAGGAGTGCATACTCTCTCCAAATGAGACAGGAATGATGTGGGGATAAAATTCAGAGTGGTGATTGCCTCGGGGTCAGGGAGGAGATAGATTGGAGGAGAGCACAAGGAATTTACGAGGTGATGGGAATGTTCTACATCTCAATTGGGGTAGTGGTCACACCAGCATTCTACTGTCAATGACACAGTTTTCACTAAATTAGACATTTAAGGTCTATGTGCTTTTTGTATATAAGTTGCATCTCATTTAAAAAAAATCATTATTTAGTGCTTTTTATGCCTAAACCAATATTCACAGTTGAACATTTTTGTATTCAGGATTTTTTTTTCCTTTTTTTAATTTTATATATCCTGATATAAATTATTTCCTGAAAATAATTTTTCCTTTGTTTCCTAAAGAAGTAAAGAAGAAGTCCCTTATTTTTTTTTCAATTGACTAATTTTCTTTCTACCTATTCGTGATTGTTCCCATATCTCCCTAGTACACTCATACAAGTACAGTCGCAGTCAGATGGCAGTTCCTACCTTGAGACACCCCCATGCCTCTAGAAGTCCACCATTCTTTTTGGTCTATGCCAGTTCTAATACTTCTACAATACTTGGAATCCCTTTGGATTTTCTTCTGTGTGGGATTATTTCCTGAATCTCAAACCTTCTTTCTTAGTGAGCTACCTTGTTTGGATGGAACACGTGTCACGTTTGATTCTTTAGGTTAAAAAGTACCTCCCGAAGCAGAGGACATGGTAACGATAGCCCTAAGTAGGTCTCGCTCCTGATCTCCAGCTCTGAGATGCACTGGCTGATGGGTCACCATTTTGTTCATGGTTATCATCCTGGGATTGCTTTATCACCTCCCTGAGGACTTTCTTTACTTCTTTCCTGTGTTAGATCTTTCATTCCTGAATCCCATGTCTGCCTTGTTCTTAGTTTACTCTTACTAAAATACATCCGTTAGTGGACTTGGGGGAAATCCACTCTTTATCACAGAGTGGATTTACTCTTACATGGAGAGTAATTTAGTTTGTAGTCCTTTCGAGTCTAAACATTTTCCATCCTACTGTTATATGTAATTGATAGTCTGGATGAATATAGAATTACAGGATTGAAATCATTTTCCTTAGAAATTTTTATTTTTCCACTATTGTCTGGTTTCCAGTATACCTGAGAAATCAGAAGCTATTGTGATCCACATCCTTTGTGACTTGCCCTACCCACTGCCCCATACTCTGGAAGGTCCTAGGATCTTCTTTGTCCCAAAAGTTTGGGTTTTTCATGACAGTGTGCCTTAGTGGGAATATTTTTAACCCACTGTACTGAGCCCTGGTGGGTCCATTTCCATTTGGAAAATTCAGTTCTGGGAAATTTTTCTTGAATAATTCCATTTTCCTTCCCTCTCTTTGCCCTGCTGTCTCTCTTTAGAATTTTTGAACTAATCTTTAACTTTTCACTTCTGCTTTTTGTATCTTTGCCTTTTGGCTCTGCTTTTTGGAAATTTTCATCAGCTTTGTCTTAGCTTTCTTTTTTTTTTATTATTTCTACTCTGTATTTTTGGTTTTGAAAGGCTTTTGTTGTTCTTTCAGTATTTCTTTTTAATAGTATCCTGTTCTTGTTTCATGAAAGTCAAACTTATATTACTTCTCTGAGAGAAATAATAATAGTTTTTTGAAATTTTCATTTAAAAAAATTTTACAAATGTTTAACAAAGCTTTTAATTACAAAACATTTTACAAGGCTTTACTTGAACTATAGTTTTTACCAGAATATATAAAATGGTCTCAAACTGTCACTGCAGTGATTTTGGTTTTGGGAAAAGTGTACTTCACCAAAAGTTAAATATCAACTTTCAGATGTTCTTTCCCAAAGTTTCTCATTTTCCACTGAGGAGAACAGAGCAGCATCTAATTACTGTGTCCCTTGCATATGGATGTATAGTAGACTCTACCAGGTTTTTGACACAAATTGCAGAATAATAAGGCCAGTCTCCTCCCATACGACCAAAGAGAAGCAACCAGAGTGTAAACATTAATCACAAAAACATAAGAATTATTATAAACAACTGTTTCCCACATTTTTTTCATGAGTCCCATTAAAAATCATATACTGGCTAATGCAGCCAGTATTTCCAAGGGTATGAAACACTGTGAAAAAGTCTTATGCCACCAGAAAGCCACAGTAATCCAGCTAATAGAACAGAAAATGCCACATATGACACAGGTGGCAAACTACTTCAGTCTGGTGTTGAAATTAAAGTGAAGAGGCATCCGGGACCTGCTCGCCAGCCCCTCCTGCCCATCAGGAAACCCAGACCTGAAACTTCAACAATCTGTAGGAAATTTTGGTTTTGAATTCTTTTTCCTCCAAATTGCTTTTATCCGTTGGTTTTGGACATCTCTGTTAGCGTTTGTTAATCTCTGGTACTCCTGCGGTCAAGACGGGAGACCTTGAAAACAAATTTGGCAATTCAGAGCCTGAGGGGGTTGTCTATACTGGGCTTCACTGTAGGGTGGTCTGGTGGGATTAATTTGGGAAGTCGGTGTCTGTACCTCTAAGACTTCCCTTGGCCTCGTTGAATTCCCCAGAGAGTAATCTCTTGATTTCTGCCTGGGAAGGTCTGGCTGAGTAGGTTGGGATATTGGGGCTCGACATTTAATATGAATGTGGTAACAATGCCATGTCTTCAGCTGTGCCAGTCAACTTCTTGACAAAAGATTCTTCTAGACAAAAGGAAGGGCCGGTGCTGAGAGCTGCTTTTCAAGCGGTGCTTACCAAGTTCTCCCCAATTTAGGCCCCTCTTTTGCTTCACAATTACCTCACAATTCTAGAGCTATCTGCATTTTCACATCCTTAAACCACTTAAGGATTATGTGGTACCAATCAGGTGGGTTCTCAGCTTTTCCCACGACCACCATAGCATTCAGCTTCTCAGTATCTACTAAGATGCATCCACTCATTAATCTGCGTTCCAAATTTCCAAATTTGGAAAAATTTCCAAATTAGCTTCCAAATTTCTGGTGATATTGTCTCTTTTCTTGTTTTCATGCACTTTCTTTTTGAAGTGCTTGCTATAGTTTTAGTGAGGCTTTGAGAAAGACAGAAACTAAATGTGTATATTCAATCCTCTCTCTTAATCCGAAAGTTAATGAATCCACTTAAAGAGGATATATTCAGAAGGAACGCTTTGTATTATTTTTTACATTAAAACTTCATGCATGCAGGGTTTATTTCCAAGAAGCCAAAGATACTTCCAACTGGATGTAATCACGTGTTCCTTTCCTTTATAGCTGGGGCAAGAGGAAAGATACGAATTACTCAATGTTCTGGAGTTTACCAGGTAAAGCATCTGCTCTGTGATTTTTATCTGTAAGATAAATTTCTGTATATTTTTGCTTTTTCCTTTTTAAATAACTAAAAGGTATAATTTATTGTATTTTTTAAGTTTATTTATTTATGGAGACAGAGAGAGGCAGAGACACAGGCAGGGGGAGAAGCAGGCTCCCTGTGGGGACCCCGATGTGGGACTTGATCCCCAGACCAAGGATCGCGCCCTGAGCCAAAGGCAGATGCTCAACAACTGAGCCACCCCGGCGTCCCTGTTTTATTTTTTATTTAACTAAATTTATTTAGAAAAGATATTAAGTTAAAATCTGCAGTATAGTTTGTAATTGTCATAGCTGCTGATAAATCATTAACACCTACCTTCAGAATATTACAAGACATGATTCCTGGAGGCAGTGTAAAAATATTTTTGAACGTAGCCAGTCTGCATCACAACTGTGGGGTATAGGACCAGGAGTCTTATGGCTGGTGATCTGGAAACATCATTATACTTAGAGGCTGCAGGATTTATGTGTGCTGAAGCTGAATCAAGAGTTAGGAACCCAGCAGTCTAATTCTGTGCTCATTGTATCTAATTATCTTTGGGATTTCAGAAACCATATCCATCTCTCTGTTAGCTATGAAACCAGTTACCATCTAGTAGGAAAAATCAGAAATCAAGGAGAATATCCTACTTAACTTTATTTTTTAAGGTCAAATAATACAGACCTTCTAATAATGATCAGTGACATCTCTATGAGTTCGGTTTTTTATTTTTGCTTGACTATGTAGTTTCTGAACTAACCTACACTCTAGGTTATGGGCCTAGATAACCTATTAATGGTAAATGGACCTCAGTTAACAGACAGGATGGCCTTTAAAGATTGCATCACTATTAACAGGACACTTAAAGCCAAGCCACAACCAGGAAGTAACCCTGCTGTTCAAGGAAATAAATGTTCACCTAGAACTTTCTTCTCCATAAGGCAAGCTTGTACATTGACTAGAAAAGGCATTTCTTACAGTGTGGAGGTTCCTCAAAAAGTCAGAAATAGAGCTACCCTAAATTCAGTAATTGCACTACGAGGTATTCACCCAAAGGATACAAAAATACTAATTTAAGAGGACACATGTACCCTGATGTTTATAGCAGCATTATGAACAATAGCCAAATTATGGAAGAAGCCTAAATGTCCATCAACCGATGAATGGATAAAGATGCGCCCCCCCACACACACACATACACAATGGAATAATGCTCAGCCATAAAAAAGAATGAGATCTTGCCACTTGCAGTAACATGAATGGAGCTACAGGGTATTATGCTAAGCAAAATAAGTCAGAGAAAGACAAATACCACATGATTTCACTCATATTTGCAATTTAAGAAACAAAGCAAACAATCATAGGGGGAAAAGAGAGAAACTAAGGAACAGAATCTTAACTATAGAGGACAAACTGACGGTCACCGGAGGGGAAGTGACTGGGGGCATGGGTTAATAAGTAAGATTGCACTAAGGAGGGCACTTGTGAGGAGCACTGGGTGTTGTATGGAAGCATTGAATCAGTAAATGGTACACCTGAGACTAATATTACACTGTATGTTAACTAACTAGAATTTACATAAAAACTAAAAGAAAATGATAAAGACATGTAACTTCTTGGAAGGAAAAAAAAGGAAAAGGCATTTCCTTTTCTTTTTTCTTTCTTTCTTTCTTTCTTTTTTTCTTTCTTTCTTTCTTTCTTTCTTTCTTTCTTTCTTTCTTTCTTCTTTCTTTCTTTTTGGCATTTTCTTTTCTATGACAACTTTGCTGGCTGTCTTGGTTGGGAGTGACCATGTGCCATTGGTTAATATCAAAAATAATAGGGTCTGGGATCCCTGGGTGGCGCAGCGGTTTGGCGCCTGCCTTTGGCCCAGGGCGCGATCCTGGAGACCCGGGATCGAATCCCACGTCAGGCTCCCCGTGCATGGAGCCTGCTTCTGCCTCTGCCTGTGTCTTTGCCTCTCTCTCTCTCTGTGACTATCATAAATAAATAAAAATTAAAAAAAAATAATAGGGTCTGTCTAACGTGTTACTTAAACACTGTTTTTCCTCACTTGTATGCACCGAAGGGCTCAAGGGAAAATACATGAGACATTGACGAGTAAACTGTAATAGAGTATTTCCAAAATGTATCCCCCACCCTTTTCTTTTTTTCATGTCAAAGTGGCTGTTTTTCCTAAGTCTACTTGCCTTATACCAGCAGATAATTATAAGTAGTATATCAGTTAGCATTTGGGTATGTTTGTTTATCAGCACGTATCTTAAAGCACCACAAAGAGAAATAAAAGAAGATTCGGGGTTTAAGATCTTCTTGGGATTCAGTGATGGGAGTAGGTGTGAGGGTGAAAGTGGGGAAAAGTGACTACGGTGGTATTAAAAGAGACTCTGGAAAAAACATTAGTGGTTTAGACGAGGATGATGGTAGCACAAAGAAAGTAAAGTTGATAGAGTCCAGATACCTTTTGGAAGAATGTCAGGGGGCCTTTGGGATGGGTTGGAGGTGAAAGAAGAAAAGAGGGAGGGGTTAGAGTCTCTGATTGAACAGCTGGGTGGGAAGAGGTTCCGTTTATACAGATGGTACGTACAGGAGGAGTAGTGACTAGATGAGGTGCCCGTGAGATACGCAGATGGAGGAGCCACAGGTGGGCCGTGGGAGGTGAAGGCTGGGAGGAAAGGAGAGACGCCTTTAGCCTTTAGCCTGTGGCTAAAATATTAACTTGGTAGTTGTTGGCCTGTAAATGGTAATCAAAGCCCCAAAAACGAGTTGAATCTCATGGATATAAAATATAGGGGGTGAGGGGAACAAGAAAATCCAAAGATCGCCCTGTGACTGTGTCCCAGCTTCTAAGAGTTGATTAGGAGGAGAGGAATCGGCAAAAGAGACTGCTTCGTGCTTAGTGATGTAGAAGATAGAGGGGAACGGTCAGAGCCAAGAGAAGAGGATCCTTTTCGAGGTGGCAGTGATCATCCGTGTCAGAGACTGCAGCAGGGGTGGTGAGCTGAAGGTGGGCAGTACTTGCTGACAGGAGCCCTTCGGGGGAAGGTCAGGAGAGAAGCCAGGTGGGCCTGACAGTAGCGCGCAGGGGATGCAAGGGGAGGCCGCAGGTACAGCGGCCGTGGGGGGCGGACTTGTGAAGGCAAGTGGCTCCATGGGGTGGTCTGTGCGGGCCTGGGTTTGCAGGATGGAGACCCTCACCCCGTTACGTACTGATAAGGGAGACCCAGCTGGAGGGGAAGATGCAGACTGGGAAAGCAGCGTGACTCTGGGAGGGATGTGCCTGAGGAAGAGAGGGGTTCCCGGCACGTAGGAAAGGAAGGCATCTGAGGGGAAAAGAAATATTGCTCCATGGTCTGGAAAAGAGGCGGAGAGGATGGCACCCAGCAGACAGCTGTGTGAATGTCTAGGTCTTAATGGCAGAAAGAGCAAGAACTTCCTGTCTGGGGCTTCCACCAAGGTGAATTGCAAAAATGTCTAGGGTCTGGAGTAGGCGGGCTCATCACGGGCTTGGAGAGCGGAGAAGGTGCTGCAAACCCTGCAGATGGTGAGACAAAGCCACCAGAAGGAGGTGGCGAGTTGTGGGCCAGTGGGGAGCACGGTGGCCTTGCGCCCTGGCTTTCCTAAGCTCGGTGGCCCAGCGACTTTTCCCCACCTGTGTCCATCCTCTGTGATGTCGCAGAAGGGTTCCCGTTTACTCAGGATTTGGGAGTTTTGCCTGAAGAAGATGAGAGCAAGAAAGCTGATGAGTTTGGGGCCACCTGTCATTGAAGTTGGGTTAGAGAGAGGCACGCAGGAGGGCTGACACAGAAGGTGGAGTCTGCAGGGCCGTAACGAAAAGGCTCCAATTATACGTCTTCCCCAAGCGCAGGGATGCTGATCGGAGGCACTAACTTAGAGGGGAGATGGAGAGAGAGAGGACTGGATGTTTCTGGATGCCTCGGAAAGAAACCCTTGACTGTCCTGGGGCCAGGACTCCCTGTCTAACATGCTATTTCATACTGGGCTCATCTCCATTTTTAGGCAGAATGTTGAGGTAAAACAAATAGATACAGACACTTGAGAAGTCCTTTATTGCCCTGATTTCTGGAAAGAATGCCTAAACGCCATTCCTTCCAAGTGAGGCTCGTCCTGTGTGGTGTGGTGCCGGTGGGTTGTTCACTGTTACTTGCTGCCTCGTTGTCGCCAGAGATGCCCTACATGTCACCGCCCGGTTCTGTATTGCCGACACGGTATTAAAATGTCTGTGCTTATCAGCTTCGCTTTGTCATACAAATAGATTTTTTTTTTTACGTGATGCCAGGGGTTCACTAATAATCATTGAAAGATAATAACGGTGAATGCTTAAGTCAGTTTTTAAGTGCCCACGCTTGCCTTTCTGTGTGATTTGGGTATATGCTCTAGGTGGATCATTATTTCTGTGTATGTTAAAAGCCATAACGTATAATTCACCCTTAGATACTGACTCAAATATTTTTTTAAATCTGAAAACATTGAACCAGAACATTCTTCTGCCCAGGTGGGTACTAACTCCTGCAGGTTTCCCAGGTTGCATTTTGTAAATGATTCCTCTAGGGCAGCAGCTGGTACTCTGGTGCCTTAAAAAACATAATGTAAGTCTCAAAGGTACCCCACCACACACCCAGGGGATGGCTTGTATATGTGGAAGGACAGGGCTCATAATTTGGTAAAATTTATTTTTCACTGCGAGTATTAAAATATGTGAGGCATGACAAACATACATATGCGTATCCTCGGTACGATGACACATTATGGAAAACCTCTTTCTTTCAGCGCTAGAAAAAGAATGTCCGTGATTGTTCGCACACCATCCGGGAAGTTACGACTTTACTGCAAAGGAGCTGTAAGTTTTTATTTTTGCCTTTTACAGTTTTGATTTATGATGGTTTATAATGTATATGTTCAGCATTCTGCTGTGGAAATGTAACACAGATGTTTAGCATAAAGTTGCTGACATCCACTTTCCTTGGTGTTTTATAGTGATAGTGTTGAGCCTCTTCTGGTGAAATGTGGAATTCCTTCTGGGTAAATTTGGTACTTTGAAAAAATTTGGCCTAGCTTACTCATATAATTCAATCTTGATACACAATCTTTGAGGTTTATGTTATAAAATATATTAAAAGACAGTTAAAACAGAAAATGCCTGGGAATTTTATTAGAAATGTAGGGATCCATACCAGTTTGAATGTGATTTTTTAAAAACCATAAAGGGGGGGGAATGGATCATAGTTACTACTGTAATTTCATCATAGGGTCATTACCATTTGTCTTGCATGTTTTAATTATAACGGAATTTCTGACTATTGGTTGGCTTTGGTATATTGGCAGATTATAGTGACAGAGATAGTAAAATGTCATTCAGAGCGAACTTTCTTAGTTAAAATCTGTTTATGCTCTTGGAAAAATGAGGAGTCTACTGACCAGGCCTGCCTTTTATTCCTAAAATTAGTATTTTCCTTCTGAATTATCCTTTCCAGGTACCTGGTCTACTTGGACTAGTCAGGTAACTTAACCAACTTGGAACTTTCCAATTTTAAATAGAATCAACAACCTTGATCTAGTAAATGAAACGTGGAAACTGCACTTATTAGGAAACCAAAGCTTATTAACTTAAATTTTTGTTGAAAATGTTTTTCGATGCCTTGGTTTTAAAGCATTAAAATGCCATTTTGGGATGCCTTGGTTTTAAAGCATTTTGGTAGGATTATTTAATGATGTCTCATAAATTTAGTTTTAGAATTCCTGTGGTTGTTGATTGAAACAACTAATATTTATTCATTACGTGCAGTTTATCTACCAGACTTGAAACTGGATTTTGGAGAAAGGAAGAGAAGACCCAGCATTTGTCAGGAACTAAGCCTAGTCACAGAATATATATATATAATATATATATAATATAATTTATTATTATATATTATATATTATAAATATATATTGTATGTGAATTATATAAATTATAATTTATAATTATATATACATTATAAATTTATTAACTTATAAATTATATAAAATATTATAATTATATATTATATATAATATTTATATATATAAAGAGAAGTTTAGGATACAATATTGAGGCATATTGTAAAGCTCTTCCATGTTCCAGTGGTAGCATTTAGTGATAAGGGAATAAAGAGCCTTAAGACCTTCTCCTTTAAATGATTATGCGCCCGGTTTACACCCAACACACATCCTTCCTTTCTTAGTTTTGAGTAATCTTCCATCTAGAACCTCTGTTTAGGGAGTTAAAAGCATTGAATAAAAAATAAAAACATTGGACTTCCTTTTTGACTAATCATGGAGGTGGTCTGCATACATTAACTTGCTTATTGCATTGTTTCTCCTCCCTCCCAAGTTGGCCATGAAATGTGGTTGACTACTAAAAAGGCTGAAACATGCAAAGTGGCAAAGTACACTTGAGAACTGCACGTAGTTTGGCAGAGAATAGCAGGCTCAAGGCTGGGAAGGTGGGCGTGTGTTAGGTCCTGGGGGTTTTTTCATGCTCAATAACTTGTACTTTTTTCTGAATTGTTCTGATGCCACTTAGGAAGATGATTGAAGACAGAAAGTTGCATACTGAGTTACCCTTGATGCTAGCGACCACAGTTTGAGAGTTGATAAGGATCTGAACCCAGGCAGTTGCAGAGAGGATGGAGTAGACCGAGATTTAGGACTCAGTAACTAATTACATGTACGTGGTAGGGAAACCGTGACCTAGGATTATGACCCGATTTGGACTTGGCCAGGTAGACAAAGTAGTGCCACTTCCCACGGTAGAGGGTTGGGAGCCACATCTGGGCCATGAGGCAGAGATGGCTTGGATTTCACAGGGGAAGGAATCTGGAGTGTGGATGCGGATTTAGAAATTAACAAGTGTAGCTGGAAGGTGAAAGCAGGGGATGGATGAGACCTTGTAAGAAGGAAATACTACATGGAGAAGAGGAGGGCGAAGGGTGAAGAGTAGAGGATCTAGGAAGAGAGATCAGACTTGGAGGAGAGTCTGAGGAGTGTTGATTCCGTGGTAGAGTGAATAATGAACAGTGACGAGGGCCACAGAGACTTTAGTAGAAACGTCCGCTACAGAGTCAGCGATAATACTTTCCAGTCCAGTTGACACAGTCTGTTCAGACTTTGACATATATCCTCTATTCCAAATCCATGAGATGGATATAAAGAGGGTTGAGTGGGATGGGAGTCCTAGGCCCTGGGTCAGAATCTGGTTGGTGGTTGGAGTTTGGTTTCTAAGTGTTAGTGGGGGCAAATAGTGCTTTCTGTAAAATGTGGATGAGAGCCAGCCTCCCCTCTTTGATGCCTGAGACAGTGGTGAGCTTCCTAATCATGAGAAGAAGCTGAGAAAAATTCATGCCAACTCTGTATAAAACCACTAGATAGGGCTGTGCACAACCAGGCGGCACAACACGTGGAGACACAAGAGGAAAGCTCCTGCCAAAGAGGGAACAAGCACGTAAATAACTGGATGTGGATTCACGCCAGGTGAAATCATGTGTATAGACCTGTCTGACCAAGGATGCTTAGTGCCCAATATGATTTTTCTAAAAAAATCACAACTATTCTTAATCAGAAATAAATGGGAGAAAAAAAAAGAAATAAATGGGAGGTTTGGGCATATGTGTGAGCTAAATTGGAAATCATAAATTTAAAAGAAAACATCAGATAAATGGAATACGGTCTAAATTAAACAGTGGCAGGGGTGCAGTTAGTGAATCGGAGAACAGTACCGAAGAGTCCGTCTAGAACGTAACACGGGGAGACTGTGGCTGTGTGTGGGCGGGTATATGGATGATTTGCATTTTTCCCTTTTTTCCAGGGTTTCTGCAGTAAGGTTGCCTTGCTTTATTAATTTTTAAATGAAAAAAAAAGGGAAAGGAGAAGTACAGTTTATGTCTGCGATAGTGGCCGATTTAAGAAAAGTCACATTTACACAAACAAAATCGTAATTTGTTGAAGGAAATGAAAACCCTACCCCGATACATAGTGGAGGAGAACTTAGAAACCTGTTACACTTAGTGCATTAGAGAGCTTAAAGAAAACTTCTAATTAAGTGCCCCCTAAATAATATAATAAAATCCCATGCCATGGATCAAGGAGGACCACATGCGACGTCAGTTGTGTTCAGCACTTCAGCTCCCGGCCAGCGGCAGAGAGCCGAGGAATCTGCGTGGCACGCACACGCCCAGAGGACGTCTGTCCACACTCACGTGTGGCTGCGGCTGGTGATTTCAGCAGGTGTCCCAGATCCCAGGGGCCTCACGCAGTGTGTCGGCCTTTCCCGTTGACCCGACAGCAGGATCCGATTCCTTGCGGGCACCTGCTTCATCTGTGGCAAGATCACCCAGATAACTTCAGTGTGAAAGGCAGTGCTTAAACGGTTAATTGCGTAAAACCTCTTTTCTTCTCTTGGCTGCCTTCTTACTCCTGACTCTCCCGTTCTGCTGGGCCGTCCTCCGTTATTTGGCAATTTGGTATCGTCCGCTCTCCCAGGGATGACCCGGGATGACCTCAGGTGGTGTAGTCACGTAACGCATGTGTTTTGAACACGTGCAGGATGCGGTCAGTGAGGACAGAGCAGCGCGGGAACTTGAGTCTGAGAGATGAATAGGAAAACGACTTTTCAAGTGGAAATTGACCCAACACTAGGACACCGGATACGTGAATCCAGTTAGGATTTTCTGCCAATGTAGACTCAGTAGGTTCTAAATCTGATCTTAGGGGAAATAAGACATATATGCACATGTTAGTTCCTGTGAAAAAAAAACCTTTTTTTTTGGTCCTAACCATGGGCCAAACACTTGAGGTAGCTCTCTGAATCTGTGAGTGTTAGCTCTGGGCAAAAAAAGGTTATTTGCACGTATTTATTGCTCACATCTACGCGTGGCCAGCTGTGACGGTCACTTACAAACATACTACCTAATTCCTGCAAAGGGCCGCATTCTGGCCCCTGCTTTCCTGGATATCATAAAGTAGAAAATTCTATTTTGAGCATCGGTTTTTTTGAAAACGTGGCTACATGGTACAATTTTCTCTCCCTTATCACTTCTTGACTTTGATTTTTTTTAAGATTTTCATATTTTTAAAACCCCTGTTTTTAATTTCACTGAAAATGTCATTAGCCTCTGGGGGAAAAAAATAGCATTTGTAAGTTATACCTCTCATTCCTAGAAAGGGAGCCATGAGGGGAAATTATCATTTCCTTTTGCTTTCTCCCCCCCCTTCCCCGTTCCACCCCTGAAAAATGAAAAGAAATTCATAATTGGGGCCTGGAATATTCCATCTGTGCTGAGGTCACCAAGTTCTTGTTTCTCTCAAGGGTTCTAAATCATACTCCATTAGTCTGCTTCCAAATCTCAGCCCTGAGACTGGAGACCCCAAAATGGGTAATACCACTGAGAAAGTAATTGCAGGTAAATGATTTATTTTTTCCTAGTCTAATAAAACCGTGGAGGCCAAACACTAAAATCCTGAAAACGTTAAACCCAAGCCGAAGAGTAACGAAAGGAACAATAAGCAGTTTTTTAAAGGGGCAAAACTCAGAGAAGACCTAAGTGGCGCATAATACTCAAGCTGAAAGGGACTGTGAGGATCACCCAGTAATTGAATTTTACAAACTAAGTGAATCGAGGTTTTCGAGGCTAACGTGACAGTCAGAAATATGCAGCTATCGGTCTGTGCTCGGTTTGTTGGAAATTCTCCCTATAATGCCCAGCAGGCCTCTCTGTGCATTTGGACCGGCATTTCTCAGAGTTTGCGGTGGGTGCCCCCCGGTCCCGTACAGATGCCCCGATCTCCAGCTCAGATCCAGCGTTGCGTGAGGTTGGGGCCTGCACCGTATGGCGCCCCAGAGACCCACTGTGCAAGTTAGCGTTGTAAAGACTCCAGAAGCGTCGCCGCAGGGCGGGCTTTATCCAAAGCAGCATTTCCCAAACTTTCTGAGCGCTGGGCCATTCTCCCCTGTGGCACCTGTGTATTCATACGGTGCCTATACCCTGCAGCGTCCTGCAAAACCTTCAGAGGTGGGGGGCGGCATCTTGCAAGGTCCGCGAAGTACCGATAGGATGTGAGACGTTGAGCACTGGAGGGACTGAAGATTTATTCAGGAGGGAGAAGGATGGAAATATCGGCCTTGACCCTGGCTTCGTCGTATCATCGGGGAAACAGTCTTACTAGGGGGGAAAAAATTTTGTGCTTTAAAACTAATGCTCAAGGTGATTGGTTGTTTTTTTAAAACCGATTTGCCGCCGATACTGTTGCCAACATCAACATTCCTGAACTCAAAATGCTTTATTTTAACTGTATCGTGCCTTCTATTTGTTTTCCAGGACACCGTGATATACGATAGACTGGCAGAGACTTCAAAATACAAAGAAATCACCTTAAAACATTTAGAGCAGTTTGCTACAGAAGGTGAGCGTAATGCAGCAACAAAGCGTGATTACGACAAAAAGGGGGTCATACCCGCCTCAAGTCTTGCGGGATTGTTGTTATCTTACTTGGAAACCCCGAAAGTAAGATAACAGTGTTGACAACTTAGGTTGTACTCTATGCCGTTCCCATTATCTTCGTTTCGCCTTCCTGTGTTAAAATTTTAGAGAGACCGGGCCCCTGTGTTTTGGGGGTGTTTGGTCTATAAATCTGTTGACTTTTTAGAATGGGTACTATTCAAGCTTTAAATACGGTGTATCTCTAGAAGCGTAGAAGGAGAAGAAGTCCAAAAACTGGACAGTTTCTCGGTAAGAAAGAGGATAAGAAATAAATTAGCTGGGGCGCCCCGGGGGGCTCCATCAGTAGAGCGTCCGCCTTCAGCTCAGGTCGTGATCCGGGTCCTGGGGTCAGGCCCCAGTCGGGCTCCCTGCTGCTCCCTCTGCCTCTGCCCTTCGCCCCCTGCTTGTGCTGGCTCTCTCGTGCACACACTCTTTCTCTCTCTCAAATAAGTAAATCTTAAAAAAAAAAAAAAAAAAAAAAAAACTAAAAATAAGCTTTTAGAACTATTAAAATAGTTATTCACAGTGTAGGTTCCAACTGACCACCTCTTAAGCCCCTAGCCCATGCCAGGCTCTGTGCGAGGCCAGGGAGTCGTGCAAAGGCCTGTCTCCATCCTCCTGAAATGCGTGCTCTGTGCAGCCCGGTGGGGCACGTAGTCCGGGGGGTGATCTGCGTTAGATGGGAGGACGCGAGAGTCCTCAAGCAGTACGGCCACTTACTACACGAGTTTGTAGAGTCTTATCTCTGAACTTAACAGAAGTAGCCAGAGCTGTACCTGAATCTTCCATCTCAATTTTCACTGTGCATCAGCCAGGACTGTCACCAGTAGGCAGCAGGCCTTGACCTCCGACCGCGTCCTTTGTTCCTCTTAATCCAGGCTATGAAAAGATAGGATTGTCTTAAAAAGCACGAAGCTTTGAAAAGCAGGGACATAGGGAACCTTCTCTCCCTTCTCCGAAAATGCAAGAGCACGGAGACACTCGTGTCCGTAGAGTTCAGACGCCTGGAGGTATGTCCTTGGCTGGACTTGACAGGGGCAGCCTAGCTGGCACCCAGCACCGGTTCCGTCTCGGGAAGGGGGACGGAAGGAGCATCACCCTCTCCTCTGGCTCTGATAGGAAGACCTTTCGGCTCTTGGGCAGAGCTGACTTGGCTTGGCCTTCACCTCCACCCTTTTATTCCTGGCCCTCAGCTGAACGACAGTCTGACTCCGTGCTACCCCAGAGTCTAAATCTCCAGCCAAGTTTCCAGAAGAGAAAAACATGTCCTGATATAGCCCCAAATTTTTAAGTTCTCCGCTCAGTGCGCTGGCGGTAGGCAAGCCTACCCCTTCCTTGGAAGACGGAGTCCTCTGGGCCCTTCATGTCCTTGTGTCCCCTGCAGCTCGTTCCTGATATGCCCCCTGGCCACAGTCGATTGGCCTGAGGTCCGTAGCCCCCCGTTGTTCTGAGAGCTAATGACCTTGAGTGAGGGTGTTGTCTTCTCAGGAACCTGATTAACTGCGTTTGTCCTGGCTGAGAAACGCTTTTGCTGCTGCTTTGCTCCAGTCCACCATTTTTTTTTTCCTGGCTGAGGGTAGCTTCCTGGTGAATTATGAAACTGATAGGCATGGAGCACGGGGCGTAGGCCGCCTCAGACAGCAGCTTTGAATGGTTTCCCAGGGTAGTTCTGATGAGTACTTTGTTTAGTCACCATCCCTCAGTGTTTTAAGACTCTTTATATTATAAATTTACAGCGATAAAGAGCTGTAATAAATAGAACCCTGCAGCCCTGGAGGCAGATGGCCTAGCAGGTAGACCCCGTCGGTGTCCCTCTCTTTCTTCATAAGCCGCAGTTATAAGCGAGCCTCTGTGCTCAGCGCTGAGGCTATAGATCGGAGGAACCCATCCCCTGCAAGAGCGGTACGCTCATCCTGGATGGAGATCCACAGGAAACACAATTGGAAACGTTGCCATTCACACCATACGAGCATTTGGGGATCTCTGCCTCTAGGGTCTGAGTGAGGTGAGAATCATCAAAGTGATGATTTTAAGAACTGAGTCTTCACGTAGATGCAAGGCAGATGTGGAGGGAGTTGGAGGGAGTAAGATGGGGAAAAAGTGACTGGCATGTGCCCAGGCCTGGGGAAATAAAAGGAAGATGGCAGAGAAGGAGGTCGAAGGTCCTTGGTGTGTGGGACCTTCGAGTGAGCCAGACTTTGGGGTTTGGACTTCATCCCGGGGATGAACGATTGAGAGATCTCCAACAAAAGAATAACCTGATAAGCTTAGGATTTTGGAAAAGTTACAAAGGATGTATTGAGAGAGCTGGGAATTGAAGGCAGAGCTCCAGTCAAAGGTGAGGGGAGCGTTGGCATGCATTTTACGCCAAGTTTACGTCCTAACGGAATCGGACCAACATACAGTCTGAATTGAACCAGTCTTTTCAAAATGTGACTTAGTTGTATCCGAGTGGAAGGGTCAGACTTCAAAATGAAACCGTATTTGGTGTTGGGATGTGTGCTGCTTTTTTCAGGGTTAAGAACCTTATGTTTTGCCGTGGCTGAGATCTCAGAGAGCGACTTCCAGGAGTGGCGAGCGGTCTATCAGCGCGCGTCCACATCTGTGCAGAACCGGCTGCTCAAGCTCGAAGAGAGTTACGAGCTAATTGAAAAGGTATGTGAAGGATTACTTTTGCTCATATGGAAAGTTTGGTTTCCAGAAAACTTCAGTCTTTTCAAGGAGCCAATAAATAAAGATCAGAACGTCTGGACGCACCGCTTACTGTCGAGCCTCCCCTGGTCTGAGCGTGAACAAATATTGGCCGTGGTTAGAGCTTTTGCCGAAAAGTCTGTAGAATTGCTTTATGTGGACCTTCACTCTTTTTTGTGATTTTGGATCCATGAGGTCAGCCTGTCTTCTTGCTTCTGTGTACTGTTTCTTCTGCGTCACTGAAGAGAAGCATGCTCTCCTCCCCACACACATGCACACAAGCGACGTGTACAGCCATGTGTGCATGTAGGTAATCGAGGTGTGTAGTGGGGAATACAACAAAATATAACACAAACACAGCTGTGGGGCTCTGTAGCTAATGACAAAGAATATATAAGTGGACGATCCAGTGTATTTGTAAACGTACCTACACATCTACACGCACATCCCTCATCTGTGCGACAACTGAAAATACTCCCATTTTACAGACAACCAAGGCTGTTCACCCAAAAAGTGACGGACACACTGTGAGTGATGCTGTATGAATAGCAGGAAGTTGTGCTTCCTTAAAAATAGCAGACATTTTTGTGTGGTGTTCACTGTGTGCCACGTGCTATCTGGAGGGTTGACTTTAATCCTCACGGCATCCCTCTGAGGTAGGCACGATTTATTTATTTATTTATTTTTCCAGTTTTACAGATGAAGAAATCAAGGAAACAGGTCAAGTAATTCGTTTGAGATGACACAGTTCGTAAGGGGGCGAGGCAGGACCCTCCTTCTAGCTCCAGAACTCATGCCCCTCACTGCTTAGGCACCTTCATCCTCCCCTTCCCCTTGTCAGCACATAACTTCCTCCCCGCGTGATCCTTAGCCCTATTCGTTGCTTTTCTTAGGCTTCTGAGAACTAAAACAAAGTTTTCTCTTCCAAAGACTACTGTTTGGAAACAACTTTTCTCCTGTCTCCTGATGTACGTGGCCTGAATGTGATGTGGCCTTTACCCTCCGTGGCAGTGTGGTAGGATTAATACACGATGAGTTACCATCAGGTATTTGAAAATGGATCCTGAACACTAAGTCTTGTGTCTACACGAAGCGCCCCGTAGAAAATTCTGAGGTTGGACGTTAAATGTAGCTGGTTAACATGCTGACTCTGCGTGCCCTGGAGCTTATAGGTTAGATTTTATAGGTTTCACAGTTGTTGTTGTTGTTTGGGGGGGGGGTGTTTATAATAACGTCTGGTATTAAAAGCCTTGTGATTTCCTTTTTTTATTTTATTTTTATTTTTTGTTTTTTATTTCCATCTTTTAAATTAAACAGATGTTCAGCCTTCCTTCAGCAGGTGGCAGTCGTGAGTCACTGAACTTCTAGTTGCCTGGGGAAGTGGCCTTAGCCGCACGTGTACTTTGAGTTTGCAGATACAGATGCCTCCCTGGGACGGCCTGTTGTCTACACCGAGTGAAAAGAGGGGTGGATAGCTAGTTCCATTTTGCATTCTGATAAGCCATGGTCTCCACGTTTTAATGAAAAGTCTAAAAGCCAGAATGATGAAGGGATTGGTTCCCTTGCTCAGCCAGCTTCCAAAGGACTGGACTTCTGTGTCCCTCCCGACCCCTGAAACCATAATCTCATTCGGGTATTAGGTTCATTAACGCTACCGGGGCTGCTACTAGATGTTAGGTATCAGAGATGCTCGAGCGCGCCAGCAACCCCCCGCTCGCCTGAGACTCTGAGCATCGCCGGCCTAACAAATTTCTGGAGTCAGGAAATCGAAAGGAACCCAGAGTGGTGCCCCCACACACATGGTCCAACGGAAGTTTCCAGGGAAGTGTTGACTTTTCAGATGAACCCCAGATATTATTATTTTACCAGTTAAAGGAGATCAGAGGTCTTTTTTTTTTTTATGCAAAAGATCAGAAGTCTTTGGGGGGGGGGGTAGCCCAGGCACAAAGATACTGAAGAACTGGCAACAGAGAGCTATTTTTCAGACAAATGCTTGTCCCGTCCCCGATCATTTGAAGACCATAGGGTTTTTCATGTATCTAGAGCCAGGGCAGTATGACCCCTTGTGTGGCCGGAGCTTCCATTGTTTGCTAAAATCATCAAGGATTAGTGTTGCACCAGAACTGGCTGCCCCAAAAACCACCTACTGAGGCAAGTTTGGGCCTGTCCAAGCGCAGATCCTGCAGGTGCCTTGTCCTGGCTTGACAGTCAGCTGCCATAGCAGTACGGGTCAATGTCTTGGCCTTTACTTTAGTGAGGCGTGTTGATGATGTAATCTTTTTAATGTGATTGGAATCTGTTTTTGAAGTAGACCACCATGTTGGGCTTAGCATAGAAGATAGTGAATTTTAAACCATGAGAATGGTTTTTAAGTCCTTTTTTTTTTTCTAAGAACAGAACACATTTTCCAAACAAAATATTGCCTGAATCATCATATATATAATAGAGAAAAGCTGCTCTGTTTTAAAAAATGGAGGAGTAGGAAGGAGCCCCACGTGGGCTGTCCCCTCAGCCTTAGCACCTTGCCCTCCGCACGGTCTGGGAGGAGCTTTTCGTGATTTGGCGGCTCCACTGAGCACCATTTGAAAACCATATAAATATTCCATCTATTTGTGAAATTTTTAGAAAATGTGCTCCTCAGAATACTATAGATTTTTCAAGACTTTTCGCTTCTCGATGAAAGACCAGATCGTCCTCGCGATCCTGTACACAAGGTGTTTCTGAGCATATTTTCATTAATGATACAAAATGCCCCTGACATGTTGGTGGTAGTGTCACGCTAAAGACATTTGAAATTTGAAGGATTCGTAGAACCTTTCCTGAAAACAAGAATGTTTTTAATGTTACCAAATAAGTGAAAACTTTATTTTTTTTTTTTTTGTTTTTTGGGGTTTTTTTTTTCTTTAAAAGATGATGAAGGTTGTACTTTTAAACCTTATTCTCGACCTTATCTCTCCATTGTTCAAACAAGTAATTCGGTTTTTGAAATTTCATCCAACGCTTATTCCTTCGGGTATAACCCGCTGTAACCCCTAGCAGAAGCTGCAAAAATAGCCAAAGAGACCCAAGAACATCCAAAAAGATAATGACATTGGTCCCTTGCCACAGTGCTTTGTCTCTTTTCTTTCCCAGCAGTCTGAGCACTAGAGAGTACTCACTCCACCCTCCAGGACACTAAGAATGAAATGTGAGAGGTTTGAAAAAGTTCTCTGGTTATTGGTATCCCTATCGACAGTGGCTGTCCGAGGAGAGGATTGAGGACTTCCACATCCATCTATAAAATAACAGCATCATCTCTGCCATCGGGCGGGACGGTCTGAGCTCTAACACTTGCATTCAGGTGGTCAGCATTTCAAGATTAAAAAAAAATAATAATTCTGATGTTCTGAGTTGTTGCAAGATGTTCCCGAAACATATTTTTTCTATTACTAAAGATAGGCCAAGAGGCAGCATTTATTCCCAGAGAGACAAAACCATGCAGGAACGAGAAGGTTCTCATAGTTAAAATGCAAAAGGGATTGTTAGAAGCCTATCAGGCCCTTCAGGTGTCTTGACCTAGTTTAGGAAGGGGATTGTGGCATCGCTTCGGGTTTTATGGAAGGAAATGCCTCTTCATGTCTTCGTCACCACTTCAGAGAACTTAGTTGTCTCCTTTCAGACAATATTCTTGACCTGCTTTACCTGCTTTAACCTTGTTCTTTTGAAAGATAATTGATGTATTTGGACTTGTAATTCTAGGTCATGAAACCACCTATTAGTGTTGGTTTGCATTTTTAAAAATCCGATTTTTAAAATGAAATTTAGAATTAATTTACATGTATTTGGTCGGGAAAATTACAGATAAGTAAGAGAATAATTATGAAGCTTTATGCTTCATTAGCAGTGGTTTCCCTGAAATTTCTCACCTTGTTCTTTGGTCTGTCACTTTACATTTATTCTGACATCTTTCTAAAGCAGATTTTTTTTTTTTTTACCTCCTATTCAAACTCTGCTGCTGGGTTCTTTTGAAAATTAATAGTGCAGAGGGCTCTGATCTTATCAGGGAAGATTTTTTATGATTAAATCATTGGTTGAAATAGGAAAGTGTGCCTTTATGGTAAATACAGGGTTTTTTAAAAACGTTTTATATTTATTTGCTTCAACAGAAGAGTGCAGCTGTATCTTCAGCATTGCACAAATCACCTACTAATCGCATCTCATGTTTATGAAAGCAAATTATTTATCTTGAGCGATAACAGAAAACAGAGTGGGTTATAGCAGGTGTTTAGATTGGGCAGTGATTGAAGCATTTCCCTGATGGTCAAATTGGGTTTTTTCTCTTTTTTTCTTTTTCTTGTTATGAGGCAGAGATTATGAACTATGTTTTTAAAAAATGATAACTTATCTGATGCAGTTTTTTAATAGATTATAAGTCAGAGAGGAGCTTAATAGTAATCAGAAAACAGTAGCTCTGACAATCTAGCTCTCCTTTGAAATCAGGTAAGAGTGTTTTATACACATTTTGTGACTTTTGATTAGTGTTGAGCATCTCCTAGATTGAAGCGTCATGAGAGCAAGGACTGTTTTTCAGGTATTCATCACAGAATTTCCAGCGCTTGCCCGTCTAGCCTGTGTTAACTACTGAATAAATACTTGACAAGGGCAGCCCGGGTGGCCCAGCAGTTTAGCGCCGCCTGCAGCCCAGGGCGTGACCCCGGGGTCCCGGGATCGAGTCCCGTGTCGGGCTCCCCGCATGGAGCCTGCTTCTCCCTCTGCCTGGGTCTCTGCCTCTCTCTCTCTCTCTCTCTCTCTCTCTCTCTCTCTGTGTGTGTGTGTGTGTGTCCCTCATGAATAAATAGAATCTTTAAAAATAAATAAATAAATAAATAAATAAATAAATAAATAAATACTTGACCAAATAATAAATGATTCAATTAAATGGTTTATCCAGAAGCGAAGTTTCTTTGGTAGGTGCTTGCTTAATA